ATTCTATTTGCTCGACAGACGCTCCATGGCATTCATTCTTACAACATTTTATCGACTGTACTTACACTGATGTATTCTCAATGCATACAGTTTGTATCGAGCTTGCACACTCGTGACAGCGACTGAACAGTGACTGAAACACAAACGAACAAACGAGGAATATTTTTATTCACATTTTGGCATGTCAGCGTGGTATTCTACACTACAATCACCAAAACTGCGAACCTTATAAACATTCCTATCGATGTAACTAAAAATAAAGTCGATAAGAACATTTATTGGGGCAAAACAAGCGCACAATACTCACGTTTTCGGTGCGACGGCTAGTCGGGCGAAATGACGTCCTCGACGAGACGAGGACGGCAGAGAGATTAGTGGAGAGTTCCCGTGCGCATGCCCCGTTGAGTAAATTTACTTCCGGTAGCCGTCCTAGCTCTTCCCGTCCTAGTATCTTAAGGTGCCTAATGTTTCAAAGACGGCGAAGATTTACTGACCTTGCTGATTTTATCATTGAAGGCCTTTCCTTCGTTAGATTCTTGACCTAGTATTTCATGCTCGAGCTGTGCTACTTCAGATTGATTTTGGGAGGAAATCACAATCATTTCGTTATTTGTTTTCCTTCGCAGTGGTCGAGTTCTCGCTTTCGACATTCAAGTTTCCACTCTAATTTTGAGCCATTTCCTCTATAAACTCCTGTTCACGTACTTCATTGTCTCCTTACTCGTTCGGCAAGTTGTTTTACTTGAAGGCTTACAATGGCCGCCTTTATTTTAGCGTCTCTTCTTCTCTTTGATGAAGACGACTTAGTAGTACCGGGAGAAAGCGCTTTCGAATGACCAGAATCGACCTGGCTTACTCTGTTTACCGAATTTTCAGGAGTCATTTCAAGGCTGCCGTGGCGCGGTGAAACCACACGTTCGTCCACCAAATGCCACGATTCTTGATTGTCCATCATGAGCGGCTGATTTTCATCCGGTTCGAATAGACCAAAAATTGTTAGACCAAGTAAAACGGCTTTAATTTTAGACCTTTGACATAAAAACAAAATCCTTTGACATATTGACCTCGTGCTCGATATCACGCGCGCAAGTTCTCCTGGTATAGATTTAATACAATTCTAATGGCCAGCGGACGCTCCATGAACATCGCACACTAATTAACAATTATTCCATGAAACCGCGTTGGATATGAAGTGATAAATAACCAACATGCGCGTAGCGCGAGTTGGTTATGATCACTTCATATCCAACAAGGTCGAATGGAATAATTGTTTTAGTATATAAGGTAAAACTCCGACTAATGGCTCATAGTCGGAGTTTTTGAGCCAATCAGAGAGCTAGAAATGCAATAGTCGGAGCTGAGAATATACTAATGTTCAATATCGGGAAGATTGTATGCGATAGGAAAGCATACTTTTATCCGCTTACTAAACTGAGTTGTTTGCCATTCAGAAATTGGGTAGGGAACTGGGGCGAGTTTTAAATTAACTAACACCACCACATGAAAGATCCCGTTGAGATTAGTAATTTGACCAAGAATGAGCAGAGATCAGGTTATAGATCTTGAAACGTGGTTATCCGGTTTGGGGGGACGCTAACTCAACATTAGAGACGTTTGTATGGATTTTGAACCATGTTTAAAGGTCCATAACTTGGTCTCTGTTTACCCTAAAAGTATCAAACTTGGCCAAATGACTACTCTCAGCGTGATCTTTCATGTGGTGGTGTCAATTTATCGATTGGTTAAAATATGAAACTCGCCCCATTTCCCTGCATGCGCACAGTTTCGGAATGGCCTATGGAAATACTCGGCCCGAATAATGCCATCATCTGGCACCAGTTGTGCTAAGGCAAGGGTATAATTCACTATATAGTGGATAATGTAGCTTTTTTTTGCACTGGATTAAACGATTTATCCATGCAGTGAATAGCGTTATCCACCTTTGAAAAACTTGTTCTAGATGAATTGATTTTGTAGAATAGCTTCAGCCATTGTTTTAACGATCAGCCCCGAGTTTTAGCTAATGACAAAGCATTATTTTACCAACAAAGTAGCCTGTGGTGTGGTGAACATAAAAAAAGCAAAATAAATATAAATATAATATATAAACATAAACATAAGAAAGTATACATTATGATGTAATAATGTGTTACTTACTGAATTTCTTGACGACCTTTTTCCAGAATGATTTAAGCTTCCTCAGAGGTATTCTCACAAATTTAGGTAGAGATGGAAGTTTAAAAGTCAACTTTGGAGTGAACAAAACTTCTGCTGCTATCTCAGCTTCTGTTTTAACGGAGCCTTTATCTAAACGAGGAGTATAAACCTTGAACTGCAAAACAAGTTACTTACATTTTACTAGGTAATGAAATGATAACACAAATGGAATAATTGAGATAAGTTTAATGGACTTACAGGTGAACGCTTTGCAAATATTTACTATTAGGGGCACGAATAATTGCGCATTTGACTACAATATTTCAGTAAGACTAGAATACGAATCTTAATCGGACCTTACACGGTGAAATAACCAAAGAAATCAAATTCATCACATTTAGGAGGAAACAAAGGTGGTGAGGGTTAGATAACGTTGCCACATTCCCATCAATGTCTCCTAGCCGGTCATACTTGGGTGGAGTTTAATTTGTCGATGATCTGTGCCTCTTGCCAAACTTTCTCCACATTTTCCGGTTTTACGTCCTCCTCGGAAAAAAAAAATCTACATAAAATTCCAGAGCAGGGGTTTCAATAAAAGCCGGTTACCGGCAGTCTACCGCCTCCTGTAGGACCTCTTACCGCCGTCTATTTGGATTTCATTAGTGAAAATAAAAATGATATTAATAAAAAAAGCAAATACAACAACAACGACGACCACTGAAATTTTTAAATGCTACAAAAGCGAGAATCAATGAAAAGTTGTAAATGAGCTTTGCTTTTGTAAGAATATTAGTAGAAAGAATTTTGTTGTAAAGTTTATCTCACTTCATTTTTTCTGAAGAGTTAAAAATCAGTTTGTTGCCATGCTGGTACATTTGAATGAGTAGCAGAGAAGTTGTACTTATTTTAAGAAAGGACTTCAAAGAAATTACTGCCTAAGTGGATATCAAGTGTCACTGAGAGATACCTGCCTAGAAAGGTATTCAAAATGCACCTCTTTGCAAAAAATTTATAGCTTGTCCAAAAAAATCCTGCTTTGTGATCAATAAAAATACCCATCAACGGCGCGCTTTTTGATGTCCAGAACGCTGGAAATCGCATTTCCGAGCTTCTAGATTTCAAGTTTTTCTGGGGGGGGGCATGCCCCCAGACCCCCCTAGGGGAAAGGGGCCTTGCGGCCCCGTTACTGGTCACAGCCGTCTATTACATCTTCAGTGGCCGCTTATAACTAATGTTATTGAAACCCCTACAGTGCAATCTGGGATTTGAAGGTGATTAGCAAACCAGGATACCAAAAAGTGCTTAAAATGATGGGACTGATTTGCAGTACTTACAACAGGGCTGATGATGTTACGTCTACCCCTAACTGTGGAGGATCCGCCCACAGCCAACCGAACTGAAGTCCTCAGCGACAATGGAACATATGCCTTTGCCTAGGTAACAGTACCAACATTGAAATTGAATGCAAATCAGTGGAGTCGAACCCTTAACTGAAGATTTTAAATGAAAAAACCCAACCAGATCTGAAATCCCATTTTTTTAAAATTAACTTCGATTTTGTCCAGTTTACGACATCTCCTTATAGAAGCGACTACGAGTATTTCTACACCTCACTGGGTGGGATGCTAGTCTATCACAGGGTTACCTCATTCATTTAATCTGTGAGTGCCCATTAAAACCCCTCAACGGAGAAGAGCAGAATTAAGAGAAAGGTTGTCTTTGCCAAGAACATCTCCCATTGGCCCAGGCTGAGTTTCGAACCAGGACCGCTCGATCCGAAATCCAACATGCTAACTATTAATCCACCACGTCTCGCACAAATGTAAGAAAAAAACAACAACAAAACACAAAACAAACAACAGCGGTTAAAACAGAAAGAAAACAGACACAGAAACAAAAAAAGAAAAAAAGCAGAAACAGAAATGGAAACAAGATCTTACCATAGCTTGTATTTCTGCGCTGGCGCTTGTCTCCAGAAGCAAAGCACATCGCATGGTAACAATCCCGATTGGAATGTAAAAGCTTATCTCAAAGGGGGGATGAATGGGCCGTCTTGCCTTCATATTTCCGCTGCAAAAAGAAATCCGGGAGGAAAAAACCTAAACATTAAAAAAAATATTTACAGTAACCACATCTACAATTTTATCGATAATTGTGTCGGAAAGGACGCCGGTGAGATTGACAAAGACAGTTAACTTGACGGAAATTTGGCCAGAATCGACGAAGCCGACGCCAGATCTAGGAATATCAACGACATCGACAACGCACTTTATTAAATCCCTTTTGAAATCACTGGCTATCCTTGCAATCTGATTGGCTCTCAATGGTGCGATTTATTCACGAATCGCACT